TCCCTTGTTGAAGTTGGCCTCATCTGAACATATACAACGGAGACAGAGGAACTGAGAGAACGGGATGGAGTCTTTACAGGAAGTGTGGTGTGAGGATGTATAGTCCAGGTAGCTGTGGGAGTCGGTGGGTTTGTAATGGATATTAGTGGCCAGTCTATCCCCAGAAATGGAAACAGAAATGTCAAAAAAGGGGAGGAGTCGGAGATAGACCAGGTGAAAGTGAGGGCAGGGTGGAAATTGGAGGCGAAATTGATGGAAGATTTTCAATTCCAGACGGGAAAGGGAAGCAGCACTGATGATATCATCGATGTACGGGAGAAAGAGTTGTGGTGGGGGCTGGAATGGGACTGGAACAACGAATGTTCCACATACACCATGAAGAGACAGACATAACTAGGGCCCATGTGGGTACTTATGGCCACCCCTCTTAGCTGAAGAAAATGAGAGGAGTTAAAGGAGAAGTTGAGGGTGAGGACGAGCTCGGCCAAGTGGAGGAGAGAGGTGGTGGGTGGGGATGGTTCAGGTCTTTGCTCCAGGAAGAAGCGGAGAGCCCCACAACCCTCCTGTTGGGGAATGGACGTGTAAAGGGATTGCATGTCCATGGTAAAGAGGAGGCGGCTGGAACCAGCAAACTGGAAGTTTTGAAACCGGAGTAAGACGTCACATGGATGTATGTGGCCAGGTATTGGGCCAGGGGAGAGAAGACTGAGTCAAGATAGGAAGAGATGAGTTCTGTGGGGCAGGAGCAGGCTGAAACAATGAGTCTGCCCGGACAGTCCTGTTTGTGGATTTTTGGGAGGAGGTAGAAGTGAGCTATATGGGGCTGGGGAACTATCAGCTTGGAAGCAGAGTGGGGGAGATCACCGGATGAAATAAGATCAGTTACCATGGTAGATACAATGGCCTGAAGTGTCATGGTGGGTCATGGTCCAGGGGAAGGTAGGAGGAGGTATCTGAGAGTTGGTGCTCAGTCTCTGCAATGTAGAGGTCAGTATGCCAGACTACAACAGCACCACCCTTATCGGCAGCCATGATAACAAAATCAGGGTTAGATCTGAGTGCATGGAGTGCAGTCAGTTTGGAGGGAGATAGATTGGATTTGGTGAGAGGGGCAGAGAAATTGAGGTGACTAATATCACGCCAACAGTTCTCAATGAACGGATCGAGTGCAGGTAAAAGGCCAGAGGGAGGGGTCCAAGTGGAGGGAGAATGTTGGAACTGGGTGAAGGGGTCTGTGGGACGGGGAATAGCATGGAGGCGAAGACGGCGGAAGGAAAGTTACCATATGTGGGCAGGAATTGCACCGTAATCAGACCGCCTACATTCTTCTCCAAACTACATATATCACAAACAACCGGGTTCCCAGGACTGTTTCCTGCAGAATGCCACTGGTCACAGATCTTCTGTCAGAAAAAAAACTCTTCCATTCTTATCCTCTGTCATCTATGACCGAGCCATTTCTGTATCCATCTTATCAGCTTACCACAGATCCCATGTGACTTCAGCTTCTGTATCAACCTGCCATGAGAGACATTGTCAAAGGCCTTGCTAAAGTCCATTTAGACAACATCCACTGCCCTGCCCTTAATCAGCTTTTCACTTCCTTAGAAAACTCAGTTTGTGTGACGTGACCTCCCCTGCACAGAGACATGCTGCCTTTCACTAGCCAGTCCATATGTTTCCAAATGTTAGTAAATCCTGTCCCTAAGAATCTTCCACTGACATAAGGCTCATCAGCCTGTAATTTCCCAGATTATTCCTATTGCCCTTCTTAAACAAAGGAACAACATTAGCTCCTCTGGGACCTCTCCTGTGACTAAACAGGACACAAAGATTTCATACAAGCCCCAAAAATGTCCTCCTTTCCCTCCCTCAGTATTCTGGGACAGAAATCATCAGGTCCTAGGGACTTGTCTATCTTGATGCTTTTCAAAACACCCAACACCTGCTCCTCTTTTAATATCAACATACCCTCGAATTTCAACATATCCCTGTCTAGACTGACCATCCACAATGTCCTTCTTGCTGGCACCAATCTACATTCCCTAGTTCCTGTTTAACATTAGAACAAAAACAGAAGTTGCCAGTAAAGCACAGCAGGTCTGGCAGTATCTGTGAAGAGTAAATCAGAGTTAATGTTTCAGGTCCAGTTACCCTTCTTCAGAACTCAGATTCTGCCAGACCTGCTGAGCTTTTCCAGCAACTTCTGTTATTGTTCTTGATTTACAGCATCCGCAGTTCTTTCGGTTTTTATCCTGCTTAACATTGTCATAATTAGCCTTCCCCCAGTTTAGAACTTTCACCCAAGGACTCCTCTTATTCTTATCCATATGTAACTTAAAACCTACAGAATTACAGTCACTGTTCCCAACTGCTCCCTCCCTGAAATTCCGATCACCTGGCTGGGATCATTCCCTCATACTACACCTAGTATGGACCCTCCCCCTAGTATATATTTACATATTACTTCAGGAAACCTTTCTGGATGCACCTAACAAATTCCCTTCCATCCAAGCCCTTGGCACTAAGGGAGTCCCAGTAAATATGGGGGAAGTTAAAATCATCCAACCCAACAACCCTGTTGTTTTTACATTTTCCATAATCAATCCAAATAGCTGTCTCTCTACCTCCTGCTGGCTATTGGGAGCCCTATAGTATAATACCATCAAAATAATTGCAGTCATCCTATTCCTGAACTTTACCCATTTGGCCATGCTGCATGAGCCCTCCAAGATGTTCTCCCTCAGTACAGATTACAATGTAGGGAAAAATATTGGTCAGGACACTGTGACAACTTAACATCCTTCTTTGGATGATGTAATGGAATCTTGAATATCCACCTGAAAGACTAGAATCATTGACCACGGGGTCAGTTAAATATCACACTTGAGGGTCAGCTGTTCTAACATTGCAGCGCACCTCCTGTAATGCAGTGGAATATCAACTTAGATCACATACTCAACTACATATTAATCCTGTGCCATATTGTCTGCAGAATTGCTCAGGGTTCACAGGATGTAAGCATTACGGATACGTATCTATTGCCCATCCTTTATCATTTTTGAAAACTTCAGTTGTTGGTGAACTACTGTTCAGGTAGTGAAGTGCGCCAGCAATGCTGTTCAGGAGCCTAGGTAGAGTTTTGGGAATTTGATCTAGCAATGCTGAAGAAACGATCACTCACATCTCCAACTCAGGTCGGTGTGTAAATTGGAGGTGGTGGTACCTACTGAATACTACAATTGCCTGTATTACTACCACTGGATTAGTGAGGGGATAATGAGCTATGGTTTCTTGATTCAGATAGTATGTTCCCAATATAAAAGTGGCCACTGTGGTCCATCTGTGCATGCATGGTTGCATCTATGATATTACACCATCATCATGTTAAATTTTAAACAGGTTATAAGATCCTGGTAAACACAATAATCACTAGAAATATCTATAGATGTTATAAATTTAATCACACTGTAAATTTCTTTGCAAATTGGAGCTTCTGGTGACTGTCAAAGTAGTTGGTCTCCATATAGGTGCAGTATGATATTCTTAATAAATGGTAAAACTTTAATTTCTTTGTCAATTTCTTTGCTATGAGAGTCCCTGGTCTCAATGAAAACAAGGCTGATAAGTCATCAGAAAATCTCACACTGAACCTGAGCCTTCTGAGGAAGGATCACTGGACCCAAAATGTCAACTTTGATTTCTCTTCGCAGATGCTGTCAGACCTGCTGCGCTTTTCTAGCAATTTCAGTTTTTGTTTCTGATTTCCAGCATCTGCAGTTCTTTCATTTTGTTTTACAGAGAAATTATGATTTTTGCTGTGTTTTCCTGGATCTTACAATTGCTTTAAAACTTAACATAGGAAGTTGTTGAAGTATGGTGACTTGTTTCTTGCTTGGAAATTTCATACAACAGAAATAGTCAATTTTGCTCAATCAGTCAGTTACAGCACGCTCCATTTTCGCACTTAACAGACTGCAATGAACGAGCTAATGGTGTGAGCTATCCAGACAGAGGACTTCAAATCACCACTGACACAGTTAGGAAGAGTTTGTATTTGTTCAATGACAGAAAGATTGGACTAGGCCAGCACGAGCACAATGCACTGAGTGGACTGCTTGTGTAAGCATTCCACGATCAAATTTAGTGATTCATAGGATGTGGGCGTCACCCAAGGCCAGATTTATTGCAAATCCCTGATTGTCCTAGAGAAGGGGGTGGTGAGTTGCCTTATTGAACCACTGCAGGCTATGCAGTCCTTACATTAATTATAGAGTTGGGAGTAGCTTCAAACATTTACTTCACGATGTTTCCTATGGAAGGAACCAGCAACTGAATGAGGACAGTTCACAGAGTAAAACTGACAGGGTGATAAGTGTTAGTAGGAACTGCAGATGCTGGAGAATCCGAGACAACAAGGTGCAGGGCTGGATGAACACAGCAGGCCAAGCAGCATCATAGGAGCAGAGTGGCTAATCAGGGATAGTAAGATGTGTTCACCATTCCCAGTGCTTTAATGTATAGCAGTAGAAATGTTGATCCACAATTACAAATAATTTAATTCACACTCTTTACCAAAATAAGGCTGCAGAACATCGTTTACACACACCTGCTGGCTCTACTGGTGTGCCAAAGACGTCAAGGAAAGAATAGGACAGTTGGAAGACTGCTAATGATTAAAAGTGTATGGTCAAAACATCACACGTGTTCCCAAGAACAGTGTGTGCCCAGTGACGGCGCATTAGTCTGCAACAGTTTGTTTGTTTATCTGAGCTGGTGCAAAGTTCAATTTTATGTCATTTTCAGGTCCAAACCAAAATCCTCCGATCACAATTTATTTTACAAATAGATAAAGATTTTAAAACTTGTTTTTAACAATAATAGGAACAGCCGATAAACAAATGAAATGGAATCTGTGTAATTAACTTGTGGGGACTGAAGGTCGCGGCTGTCAGTTACGCTTTGTTCTTCCCAGTTCACAGAATTATTGGGGTACGGAAGGCGCTTTTCGGCCCATCTTGTCCGAACTCCGGATGATTAAATGGACCGTTCCTTTCTGGGTGGAGGGCGTCTGCTGCCTCTCCTTAACTCAACTTCGCATGAAAAAGTTTGAACACTGTGCGTGCCCCACTAACAACCTCTGGAAATTGGCGAAACGGTTCAGCACTTGAGAACGTTCCGGGTTAGGAGCTTTTCAAAGCGAATGAGGCTATTACGCAACAGCAGAGCTGCCACTGAGCTTGCAGGAGAAAAGCCAGAGAGGGTAGAAGAAAAGGAACAGCCTAGAGAAAAAAAGGCGCCGTTGCACTGTTCAAATTACGGTAAAGGGGTGTGGTCTCTGTGCATTGGTTCACCTGTAGGTTTGTTGTGGTGTTTCTGGTCGGGAGGTGGTGGCTGAGAGAAACACACAGACACGCCAAGGTCAGCTCGCATACCGAGCTGTGTGATAGTTTTGATCTGCAGGAATCGGCTCCCTGGCAGTTATTGTGCCTTAATGCGGAATGAATTAATTCACAAACTTTTGCCAGATGTCTGAAAGAAGAGAGGTTGCTGTGCTGTCCTGTTTTGATGTCAACTTTGTCTTTAACCCAGTGGAATCGTGTCTTCAACCGAATCAAACGATATCGAGTTGTCCACTGACCGTGAACCCCGGCAGCCCAATGATCTTGACGTATATAAAGTCATTTATTCCCATAGTCTTTTTAGTGCAAGTATACTGAGCTCACTAGATCAATACTGCGTGGACTCTCTGAAAGTCTGCAATTTTTTTGTGATAGATCGGACGCGTGTAAATCATTCCATTTGTACAATTATTGCGAGGATGGAGGAGTGTGTTCTGCTAGAATTGAAGGACATAGAGAGCAAGATGGGACGCAAGATTCCTGAGAGCCTGCTGCGGTCACTGCGGGATAATCAGCAGGGCCCGCACAAGGAAGAGAAAGTCGCTCTTTCTAACACGGGGACACTAAGTAACTGCAGCGCGCTGGAGAGACTGGAGACTAAGATTCAGATATTGAAGCGAGACATGGTAAGTGTTGGAGTATACGTTAGCTTACTGACCATGCACAGTGACCGCGGTTTGCTGGACACTGGATGTCAACTAATACACTGAAAAATCAAAAAGAAAGTGCCCTGGAGTACTTCGAATAACATTTTGCTCGCCTGCTCAGCACAGTATGAGCATAGTGTGTGCAGACTATACAGTATTGTATTTTCTGCCATAACGCGGAAGCGAAATGTCAGCAGCGTAAATGTGTGTGGAAGCCGCAACAATTTCTCTGTGTATCACAGTAAAGAGAATAATTTATTGCCGTGTACTGAATCAGTTTTTGGAAGTTTTTTGGATGGATGGTGTATGCTTCCATTTCAAGATGGTAGATGGGGAGATAATAGTCTAGTAGCAGTATCACTGGACAAATAATTCAGGGTTGTTTATTTCAAATTTCCAGCATCAGCAGCATTTTGCCTCGATTACAGTAATCTAGAGATTCAGCGTTGTAAAATAATTATTAGAGTTTTATTGTAAAAAGATATTATCTTTTTCTCTGGGCAATAGAAGCCGAAGTAGTATAACAGTGTGGGCTCAAATCCCAGCATAGCAACTGATGGAATTTAAATTGCATTCATAAATCTGGAAAATAAAACTAGTCTCAGAAATGGTGACCATGAAACTGTGATCAATTGTTTTAAAAGCGAATCAGAGATAGTAGGAACTGCAGATGCTGGAGAATCCGAGACAACAAGGTACAGGGCTGGATGAACACAGCAGGCCAAGCAGCATCATAGGAGCAGAG